GAGGGAAGGTGAGAGAGAGAGAGGGAGAGAGAGAGAGAGAACATTGGTTTGTTTTTCCACTTATATAAATAAGTGGAACGACATTTATTGGTTGATTCTTGTATGTGTCCTGACTGGGTATTGAACTTGCAACTTCAGTGTGTTGGGATGACATTCTAACCAACTGAGCCACCTGGCCAGGGCAGCAACCTATTTCAAGAGGATGCGCCGAAGCTCAAGATATTTAAATTCACCCAAATGAATAAACATCAAGAGACTCCCAAGTGCTGGACCTGCTCTAGGCACTGGGGTTGCACATGTGTATAGGAAAGCAAATTTCCTGCCTTGAAAAGCAAACACGACACCTCATTTCAGAATGTGCTAAGTGCTGGGAAGAAAAATGAAACCTCTCTGGTGATGTAATGTGATCCCAGGGACCTTCTGGAGGAGGTGACATTTGGGTCCTGGGTCTGAAGCATCAGAAGGGAACAAGTGCAAAGGTCCATAAGGGGTTTGGCAGGAGACACCTGGCACATTTGAGGTCCCCATAGTAGGTCTAGATGGCTGGAGTAAACAGTCGACAGAGAGAATTAGCTAATTGTATCTCTGCCTATCGCCATAGATGAAATGGCTGCTATTTGACTTCTATTCATGTACAAATTGAAACTTTGTATGGTTCAACCTAATAGATTGTGCAAAAAGAGGATACATCCATACTAGGGCCGTAGGTGATCAAGTGGAGAGCTTGTGCAGAAACTGCTTTAAGTAAGAAGGAAATGCCATTCACTGGACAAATATTTATTGAGCAACTACTATGCCTCAGGCCTGCACTGGCGCCAGGAACACTGGCGAGCAGATAGATACACAAAGGCCCTGCCTTTATACAGCGACAAAAGGTAAGTCAACGAAATAAGGTGCTTGTATGTTGTGCTAAGTCCTAGGAAGGAAAGAACCCAGGGACATGTGTCAGAAAATATAAGGAAGTCGGTCTCAGTGGACCGTCAGGAAAGGCCTCTGGGAAGAGTGACATTTGCAATGGGACCTGAGTCAGGCGATGGAGCCACCATGTGAAATGGCGTTCCAGGCACCTAGGACAGGAGGCGGGAGCAAACCTGGGGAGGCGGAGGAGGAGCTGAGGGAGGAGGACAGAGTAGCCAGAACAGAGGGACGGAGAGGGGTCATTTGCAAGGAGATCACGGTGGAGACCAGTGGGGGACAGGGAGGGCTCTGCAGGCTGCAGGGTGTGTGCAGGGCGACAGGCTTTTCTTCTGAAAAGGTGGTTGCAAAGGTTTTCTGTAAAGGACCAGATGGTAAACATTTTAGGCTTCGAGGGCTATGGAGAGTCTGTTACAGCTACTTGACCCTGCCGTTGTAGCCCTGACGCACAGACCGTAAGTGACGGCTTGCCCACGGCTGTGTTCCAGTCGGACTTGACTATGAACACTGAAGTTGCAATTCCCTATAACTTATGCATGCCACAAATAATTTTTATTGTTTTTTTTTCCAGCTATTTAAAAACGTAAAACACTATTTTGAGCTCAAAAGGCCAGACATGAACAGGTGGTGGGGCTGGATTTGGCCCCTGGGCCGCAAATTGTAGACTCTGGTTTTAAAGTCGTGGGAAGCAACCTGGCCAGTGTGGCTCAGTTGGTTGGAGTGTCGTCTAGTAGACCAAAAGGCTGTGGGTTCGATTCCAGGTCAGGGCACATATCCAGGTTGCAGGTCGGATCCCCGATTGGGGTGCTTACAAAAAGACAACGAATCAATGTTCCTCCCCCCACACCCTGCCCCTTCTGCTCTTGTGAAAAGCAATGAAAAAAAAAAAAGTCCTCAGGTGAGAATTACAAAATAAAGTCATAGGAAGCCATTGGAAGGTTTGACTAGGAGAATAAAAGAATGCGATTTATGACGGGAAGGTACGAAGATATGGCTCGAGCTATCGTTTAGTCCTTCAACAAACACCGAGTCCTGTGATAGTGACAAAGCTGCTGGAAGGGCCGTTGTCTGTAAGCCACAGGTGTGTACTTGCAGAGTCGGCAGTGTAGCTGGGGAGCTCGAGAGCAAGCTACGAGCACCTACAAATAACCGCAGACTTCAAGGGCAAAAGGGAGACACAAAAAAAGCCAAAGTTGCAACGAAAACCAGCAAGGTGGCAGACGGGTGGAGTGAGCCCCCAGGAAACTGGTAGGAGTGGAGGGGAGGGCAGATGGAGGAATCGGGAATAGGGATTGTACCCGAGGTTAGATGCGAAGGCTGTAGAAGGGTTTTAAAAAATGTGATAAAATCCACTTTATGTAAAACTTAACAGTTTTTTAAACGATTTTATTTATTTCTTTTTAGAGAGGGAAGGGAGGGAGAAAGAGAGAGAGAGAAAAACATCAATGTGCGGTTGCTGGGGGCCATGGCCTGCAACCCAGGCATGTTCCCTGACTGGGAATCGAACCTGTGACGCTTTGGTTCGCAGCCCGCACTCAATCCACTGAGCTATACTGAGCCAGGAAACTTAACTGTTTTAACCATTTAAAAGTGCACAATCCAGTGGCATTTAGTACATTCCCAACGTTGTGCAACCACCACTATCTAGCTGCTTTTTGCTTCTTTCACTTGCATAACGCTGTCAAGGTTCATCCCTGTTGTAACGTGTATCAGTGCTTATTCCTTGTGACTTGGTTGAGTAATCTTCCATTGTGTGGATAGGTCATACAGGGGGCAAAAGTAGGCTCACAGGTGTTCATATGGGAAATAATACAATAATTAATGAATACAAATACAAGAATACACCCTGTTTCGCAGACTCCCAAGGGTAAACCCACTTTTGTTTCATGCTGTGTTTTGTTTGTCCGTTCATCTGCTGAAGGGCAGTTGGGCTCTTTCCACCTTTTGGGTGTCGTGAGTAGCGCTGCCCATGAAGGGTTTTGAGCAGGCAAGCGACATCTTGTTAACAGGATCCCCGTGGCTATCGCTGGCTGAAGAGCCCAGAAGAGGGCAGGAGGGGAGGCACAAGACCAGTCAGAACAGGACTCGTAGTCTGGACTGCCCAGTATGATTCCCTTGGGGGTGGCATGCACTGTAGCTACAGGGTCAGAGCAGAATCCCCAGGTGTCAAGGGGGATGGAGGATGGGAACCACTGGGGCAGAGAGGGCTGGAGGAGTTCTGTGGGTGACCAGGGCGGTGGCACCGATGGAAGGGTTTGGGGCCGATGGAAGGGTTGGGTCCATGTTCAGAATATACATTTGGAAGGCAGAGTGGCAGACTTGCTGATGGTTTGGAGGAGCAGGTTTGAAGCAGCTGGTGGAGGGTGATTCTGTGGGGTGATTCTGTTGGTTGGAACGAGAGCTCTGCAGAGCAGCCGGTTTAGAGTCAAATAGTTGGGTTGCCTTGTTCAAGGAGAGGTCCCAGCAGCTCCTCACATGGAGAAGTCATACAGGAGGCGCTGTGTTTGTTTGTTTGTTTTTTTAATTTGTTTTGAGAGAGAGAGAAATATCACTTTGTTGTTCCACTTATTTATACATTCATTGGTTGATTCTTGTACGTGCCCTGACCGGGGATCAAACCTGCAACAATGGCATATCGGGGATGATGTTTTAACGAACTAAGCTACCGGGGGCCAGAACTGGGGGCTGTGTGTTTTCATATCCTAAATTCACTGACTCTGCAGTACAACCTTATGACATAGGAAGTACTATTCCTATCTTATAGGTGGGAAACCAGGTGTAGAGTTATGGGAATTATTTGGGCTTCTGTTGCTAGGTAGTGGCTGACCTAGCCCCAGGTAGTTAGGGTCTTGAGTGTATATGTTCCTTTTTTTTTTTTTAAATAGGGACTATCTATGCTTTTTTTTTGGTAAGGATTTTATTTACTTATTTTTAGAGAGGGAAGGGAGAGACGGAGAGGGAGAGAGAGAGAGAGAGAGAGAGACATCAATGTGGGGTTGCTGGGGGCCATGGCCTGCAACCTAGGCATGTACCCTGACTGGGAATTGAACCTGCGACACTTTGGTTCGCAGCCCGCACTCAATCCACTGAGCTACACCAGCCGGGGCAAGTGTATATGTTCTTAATTATCTTTCCATGGGGCTCTCATTTAGGGTAGACTCAGAGACAGTGTGCACTAGATGGGAGAAGGGGGGATAGAAAGAACATTGTGGTGTAGTTTGAATCTGAGTAACAGAAAGATGGTGGAGGAAGTCGTGAGCTTGTTTCTGACTCCCTCCTTGCTCAGGTCCTCTCCCATGCACTGGCCTACTTTGGCTACATGTGGCCTTTCCTTTTTTTTTTTTTTTTTTTTTGTTTCTCTGCAACATTACGCTACAGAGTTCAAGCCTGCCTCAGGGCCTTTGTACCTGCTGTTCCCTCCACCTGGAAGGCTCCATGTTGACCAGCTCCGATGTCAGAGCCTCACTGGAATCCTCCCTCACCTACCTGAAGCAGGCCTCCCCTCGCCCCTCACCGTGCTTTGTCTGTCTTCATAGCATTGTTCTCCCTTTGATATTTCGTCTTGCTCACATATTTGTTTAATTGCTCATTACCTCCTCTGCTCTGGCTTCAGCTCCTTGAAAGCAAGAGCCACAGGCAGTAAATCTGGCTCTTAGAGGGAGAGGAGACGCTCCGTGCACTATCTGTGGACCGTCTGTGTCAACAGCAAGGATGTGCTTGCCCAGTTTGTTATGTGTTAATTTGTCATTTGTTAATCCTCATATGTGGCCTGACCAGGGATCGAACCCACAGCCTTGGTGTACTGGGAAGATGCTCAAACCAACTGAGCTATGTGGCCAGAGCCTGTTACTATTATCTTAAGTGTGCTTCCAAGAGATCCTATGTATAAGCAACCCTATTAAAAAGATACATACATGCACATACAGAGGTGTGCCTATTTTTTAAGAATGGCATTATAGTTCATATACTGTTTTTTTTAAAGATTTATTTATTTTTGGAGAGAGGAGGAGGGAGGGAGAAAGAGAGGGAAACATCAATGTGTGGTTGCCTCTAGAGAGCCCCCTACTGGAGACCCAGCCCACAACCCAGGCATGTGCTCTGACTGGGAACGGAACTGGTGACCCTTTAGTGAGCCGCACCAGCTCGGGCCATGTACTTTTTTTTTTTAACTCATGATATACTTTACAGTTTGTTTCACATCAGCACATTAAGAGTCCCCAGATTCTTTTTTCACAGCTGTACAGTATTGTTTTGTGGTGGGATAATGTTTATTTAATCAGTCCCTTATCGATGATGGCATGGTGACATCTGAGTAAACAGGTAACTGGAAGGCATTCAGGAGTGGGTGAGTATCGAGGCAGAGGAGAGTGGACAAGATGTTTGCTTAGAATGGGACTTTTAATCGTTCCTACCTTAGTTTCCTCATCTGGGAAATGGGACTGATGATTATAACGGCGCCCACCTCATAGGGTTGGGCAGGTCAATAGGTTAGTTCATGCAAATTGCTTGGAACAGTACTTGACGCAGTGCTGGGAACATGTCAGCTATTAGTGTTTCCCAGTGTCCTCCTTTGCAAAGTTGGATGGTGGAAGAGGAAGAAAACTGAGTTGGAAGCGTTTAGAAAATACCTTTTTAAGAGCAAGGGGAGAGGGAAGCAACAGCAGCAACTAAGTAAATACCGGCCGTACTGTGTTCTTGGTAGGACTGGTCCATCCAATGCTTGCAGGCAGGTGTTCTGATGGCTCCCATTGTACAGATGAGAACATCGAGGCACAGAGAGAATTGGGAACCTCAAGCAAGACTGCCCAGCTGGCAAGTGGGGCGGCTGGATTCACACCCGGGCAGTCTGATGCCAGCAGCCGCACGCCCAACCGCTGCACCGTTCTGCTGCTTGATGTGGGGAAGGAAGGAAAAAGGTTCAAGGTGCTGTGCCAGGGCACAGGCAGAAAGGCATCTGCTAGGGGGAGCAGGGGAGGAGATGGCGCGTGGGGCTGGGGAATCCTCTCAGAAGCAGGTGAGAAGGCAGGAAGGAAGGAACAGACATGTGAGGCTGGAGGAGGGAAATGGCTTACTGTTAGGTGGTTTGGGGAAGTGGGGAGACGGGCTGGGAGGAGGGGCAGAGGCAAGATCAAGTGCCAAGGCCTAGGGGAAGGAGGGAACGGAGCTGAGGCGGTGGAAAGAGCAGATGGATGATCGGAGTGGCTGCAGGGGAGTGAGTCCCAGGAGCACTTAGGCTTTTAGTCTGAGTGGGGTGGGAGCTACTGATGGACTTTGTGCGGGGGGAGGAGGTCTGACTTGCTACAAAAGGACTGCGGGCTGCCTCTGTGCGAGCAGCTGTGGCGTGCCCGCGCACAGGCATTTACAAGGGCAGAGGCAGGAGGCCACCCGGGTGGGGGACGAGATTTTACTGAGCTCGGACACATACCCAGCACAACGTTAGATGCTGAGAGCACAGCGGTGCAGAATTCAGACAAGTTCGTTGCCTTGGGGAAGCTCTCCCTCCAGTTCAGGGTTGTCCCAAGCGTGGCATTCCCGAGTTTGAGAGCTGACTAGTTCTCTGGCGTGGGTGGTGCTGGGCCACACCCTTTGCATCTTGGGCTGTTTAGCAGCATCCCTGGCCTCTGCCCTCTGGACGCCAGTAGCACAGCCTTCCTCCAGATGTCACAACTAGAAACGTCCCCAGGCCTTGCCACTGGTCAAGCGGGAGAGAGAAACAAATAGAGTGAACACCTGTTTGCTCTTCTTTCTATAGTAACTGCTTGGGAATAAGAGAGTGGGGAAGTGGAGGTCTGCGGCATCTTTCTTTGGATTTTCAGTTGGGTTCTGCATCCCTCACAGCTCCCCCCACCCACACTGTGGCCATCTGCCTGACGGTCCTGTACCATCCCCCCCTGCCCTTCCCGTCTCCCTCCATTTGCCTAATCCTGCCAGTCCCTCCTAGAAAGAAGTTAAAAAAAAAAACCCCAAAACCCAAAACAAAACCCTTCCTGGGGACACCTCTTCTTCAAGGTAGGGAGCCCTAATTGCCTCTTTGCGGCTGTAACATGACTCCGTGTTCCGAAGGGGAGCCCTCCGGTCACCGCGCCTGCCGCAGGCCTCCGTTCCGATTGGCCAGAAAGGAACAAAACAAAACAAGATATTTAAAACACCTCCCTGCCTCAATCCTGTCGTTTTGCATAACGGACCGCGAGGCCTGCTGCTAGCATGTGGCCAGATAACTCAGAGTGTGCTTATTTTCACAGGCAGCCCAACGGGCTATCTCGGGATGCAGCTTGCTGAGGCCGCTTCTCCTGCTGCTCGCCTGGCGGCGGGCCAGCGGCAGCGGAGAGCCATTTCGGGGAGGCTAGGCCTCTGCTAGCTGGGGTGCCTGGGGAAGGGAGCTGGGGCCAGCCCTTCCTCTCCTTAGAGACCAGCTTTATCACGGAGACTCTCTGCCTGCCTTCCTTCTGCCTGATTCTGTCCCCCGATTCTCTCTGTCCCCTGGGAATATTAAGAAAGACAGGCTTAATCTATTTTTATTAGCTCATTGCTTATTAATAACACCATGGAACCTGCTTGTTTGGGCCTGTGCTGGCTTTTCTATCCAGACGTATAATGAATGGTTGGATACTTTTTTTTTCTTTTCATGTAAGCCAAGGATTCCCTACCTGGGCATCATAGGACGGTTGGATCACATAATTCCTTGTCGTGGGGACTGTCCCGAGCACTAAGGGGTGTTTAGCAGCGTCCCTGGTCTCCACCCACTAGATAGATGCCTGTGGCACATTTCCTCCGAACTGTGCCAACCCTAGACCTACAGATGTTACCCTCATATTCCCCGGGGGGGATGGGGGCAAAGGCACCCCTGCTGGAGAAACACTGACTTGAAGGAATACACAAGCCTGGTTTTAGAAATGGCAAAGTGACCCCCTTGGACGTCTTGCTGAGGGTGGGAGAGGAGACTGCCCAGGGCCTTTGCTGAGTCTGATCTGAGGTTCTTGCAGCGCCATCACTCAGGACTTACAACTCGTCGTCAGAGGAGTCGACCTCCTGAAGAAAACCCGGCTCAGGCTCCTCTTTTGTTTCTTCCTTTGGAAGCGAGGGAAGATGCAGGGCTTAGCGGATGTGGAGTCATAACTGGGTCGGTAGTCTGATCCCTAGCCCTTGCCAGCTATGTGACCTTGGGCGGCTCACTTCACCTCGTTGGGCTCGGTTCCATGCCTGTAACAATGCTTCCTATCTGCTGAAGTCAGGGAGTGAAAGGCCGGCCAGTGCCCGGCCCGCTGTGAGCGCTCGGCAGCGGCCGGGACCCCTCCGTGCAGGGAGGGTTTGAGAAGGGCCGCCGAGTGATCTCTACGTGCAGACCAGCAACATCGGGCTGGCCTCTTATCAGCCACATTCCATCAAGCCCAGGGGTGGCCCTTAGTGGGCCTGCCCTGGCCTTCCTTTTCCATCCATCACTGTCCCAGGATTCCATACGCCACCATACCTCTGTCTCTGTCCCCAGCCCGAATGCACTTTTCCAGATAACCTCAAACCTGCCCGAATGCCGACAGCATTCCTCAAACGGAGCTGGGCTGCCAGAATGAGCCTGCAGCTTCCTGCTCTTTGCCCCAGAAAACATTTCAAGTGATCAAGTGATCAGAGAGCGGAGGGGAGGGAGGGGGAGGGTGCTGCAGCTGCTTATGCAACAAGCTCTCATCCCGGGTTAAAATCCACCCTGCGGCGCCAGGGGCACATTTCCTCATTGGGTCACGAAGTTAGCGAAGTTAGCCCCACGCAAAATCTGCCGCAGACTCACAGTCACATTTGTTTGCCCGTCCCCCCCGTCCTCCCCAAAGGCAGCACCCGCAGAAACAAACGGTATTCCCATGGGATGGCGGTGGAGGAAGCACAGTTTCATTAGCTCTGGCCTTCGACTCTTGTCCCCCATTTGGTCTCCCCGTACCGGCTTCCATGCCCAGGAAGAGGAGGCCTCTCCCTTCGGGTGTGGCCCAGGCCCACTGTCCCAAGTGCTGGCCTTGTGGAGGTGGAGGCCTCCCTCCCTGCATCCTGGCCTCTTTAGCCTAAAATACAACAACGACAGCAGCAGCAGCAGCAACAAAATCCCCTCCCTGGTCAGAAAGCCTGGGGCCTGCCCCTGCAGTGTACTGTGTGTCCATTCCTGGCTTGCTCCTGTTCGATCGGTTTCCCGGCAGGAAGAATTTATGTACACACGGTGGGCATCTGTTGTCCAAGGGGGGGGCATGGGGGCAGGGAGGGCTGGCCAGCAGCTCTGTTTTCTTTGTGGGAACCAGCGGGCGTGGGGCAAGAAAGCCCACGAGTCCTAATTTTAGGAGGAGACTCGGGGCACTGTTGGGCTACAATTTTACCTCCTGGCCTATGGCTGCCTCCCCTCTGGAAGCTTTCTCCAGCCTCTAAACACTGGTGTTTATTTAGTTTCTGTTGTTCCGACTTGCTGTGTGTGTGTGTGTGTGTGTGTGTGTGTGTTTTAAAGTCTTGTTAATTAAGCACCTTGTCTTAAAAAAAAAAGAAGAAAAAGAAAGCAAGCGTGGATATTTTGGGATCCTTTTGATTTGTCTTTTTCTTCTTAGGGTACAGACCAACTACAAAGGCAGCTTTCCGGAGCAAGCAGGCAAAGACCACCTAATACTATTGAAATGGGTGGGATTATAAGCAGCTCTGAAAAACTAGTTAATATTTTACTGGGCAGCAGTGCCAGAGATTGGGGGGGGGGGCGCTCCCAAGCTCTGGGCTGCGTGTGAAAAGCTGTTCCATCTGCCTTAGGGGGCGAAAAGAAGCCGTTCTCTGTGGAAATAAATTTAAGCAAGAACCCTTAATAAAGCTTGTGGGATTCATCTGCCCACCAAGGGCCCAGCTCCCTAAGCACACACATACAGGGGAGATTGTGACAGCAAGGGCTGAGCAGTGGGTGTAGGCCTGACTAATAATGGGGGTTCTTGTTCCCTCCCCGAGTTGACATCTTGCTTTCTCCCTCTGGATTTAAATGGCTTCTCAGACCGGGAGGCACTGCCTGTGCCCTGGATTCAGAAGGTACACGCCTCCTTGGGAAGCAAAGGCGAGAGACAGCGGCTCTCTCTCTCCCTCCCTCCCTCCCTCCCTCCCTGCATCTGCCAGGGGAAGCTGCAGCTGGTATTTTTCCATAGGCCTTTTCTGCGATCCCAGGGCCTAGTCTTTCCCAGCCAGGCCCCGAGTCTGAGAGAGGGTTAATAGGCAGGAAGCTGAAGGCATCGCAGGCTCAGACGGAAGTCAGATTTTTGTTTAACTGACAGGTTTAGCAGGCCTCGGCCGCGGGGGAGGGGACCGGGAGGGGAAGGGAAGTCCGTAGGTCTAGGCATGTGGCCTGCTAGGAGCGCAGTTGGCTTTTCTTAGGGTAAGGCCGGCGAAGGGGGGCTGCCTCTTGGCATCCTGGCAGGGAGGCAGGAACCCGCTTTGGTTTTTCCTTGGGAGTGCCGGCTGAGGGGGACTAGAGAGAGCATGGAGTCTGTGCCAAGGGGAAAATGGCTCTCCGGCCTGCTTTTTTCCAGGAGGCGTTCTGACAATGACTATGCAAACTTGACCACTCTGTTCCCCTCCTCCCCTCAGCAGCCTCGACCCTCCTTCCGAGGCCGAGAAGCCACTGCTGCTCTGTAGCTATTTTTGGGGGGTTAGCCTGTCCTGTCTGTCTGCCCCCAGCTTCCACAGAGGCCTGCCTTCAGCCCCTTTCTCCTGCTTAGGTCATTTCCTGGGGCTCCTCACTCCTCGGCTTCACTTGCCCCTCACCCCCCTTGCTGGATTCTGCTAGATTGTGCTAGGAAAGAGCCAGACTTCCCCCTAGCAGGGAGCCGCTCCTGTGGGGGGCAGGTGAGGGTGAGCCCTTTCAGCTCACCCCAAAAACTCTCTTCCCAGGGCCCCCCCAGGCCTCAGGCTTAGCTGGAGCAGGTCAGGCTGGCTGCACCGGTTTGCCCGTGCCGAGAAATCGAGCCAGGGTGCGGGACAAGTGCGTCTGGGGGCCCCTTTCCCAAGTTTTTCTTGCTGCAAAAGGCCTAGCTTAGCCTGTCTCTTTCTATGCACAGGATGGCTCTTGCTCACCAGAGCCTCACAAAGATAATCGCTCAGGAAGTGTTTCAGCCAATCCCGGGCCGCCTTACACTCCGCTCTGCCGGGCCAGCCAATCGGGGATGAGCTCTTATTAGGCGGCCAGATCATCAAGCCGAAGTGCCAAACCCTTTTTCTGTGAGAACTAGGAGCCTGTCCTCCATGTTTTATAAGTATTGACATTACACAGTGTTAACAATGCATCCACAGAGGTAAGCTCGACTTTTTAACCATCTTTTCTCCCCCTCCCTCTGAGACATCCGAATTGTGGGCGAGCAGTGTGATTTCTCTGTGGCTGGCCGTGCCACACTCACCCCCACAGCACTTAGGTTAACTTGGAACTGTTTAGAGAGAATTTTTAGCTAGCTTTCTTGGGTCACATGGCTAAGGAGCCATGAGCCACAGCTTGATTTTGCAAAACTGGCAAGGGCCTGGCACACCTTTGCTTCCACCAGGACATGGTGTTTCTGGAATAGTTTGAAGCTAGATCCTGGTATGCCAAAAAAGAAGCCTCTTTTTTTTTCCCTCCCTTTCCTCTCTCTTTCTCTGTCTCTCTCTCTCTGAGCAGTTCCCCCCCCTCCCCTGCACTATTGTCTTCTCTTGTGTCACATGCCTGCTGGGGGAAGAAAATGGAAGGTGAGCAGGCAGGCTCCTCTGTAAGCAGAGCTCATGGCAGACAGCGAAGCAGGCAAGTTTTCCTCTCCAGAGAGGTTCTGGGAAGGCTGGACGAAGTTTTGACCAGAGAGGACGCGTGTTTCTAAACAGAACCAAGCCCTTCAGCAGAGCAGGGCTAAGGAGAGCGAGCGCCTGGCTCCTGGGGCCTAGGTGGGTGGTGGTGTCTACATGGTCTTTTCTTTCCCTACAGGGTTTCTGCACTTGAGACTACATTGTTCAGCCTTTTTTCCTGACTTCTGTTGATACAGAGTGTTCTTCTGCAAGCCAGCCTACAGCCAGCAAATGTTGCTGAAAGTGTTTTCTAGGCTTTGGAGGAAGTTTTTTGGAGCAGGGATGGGGGGTGGGGGTGGGGGTGGGGGGGGAGGTTGGACAACATCCTGCAATAAATCTGGGAGGACTCTTTTTGGATCCCTTAGCTCTCTCTCTCTTCTTGCATGATTTTCAATGAACTAATGTAATTGTTTCATCCTTGGTTTCTTTTTCCTTTCCCCTTTTATTATTATTATTATTTTTTTACATTGTATCACCCTCTGCCCTTCTGTGTGATAGTGCAGAGGAAATAAAATCATGTCTGTGGCTCATGACAGCATTCCCTATTCAGTTGTTGGGTTGTGTTGTTGTTTTGTGTGTGCTTTTAATGATCCCATGTAACTGTTTAAAAAAAAATTTCCTTTTTGATCAAGTCCCAAATCTGCCAGCCTGTTCTCTCTTCTTAACTGGGGAAAAATGAGACGGTTGCTTGAACATGTTGGGTAAGTAAAGCTCTCCATTTCCTCTGTGACCATATGTACAAAGAGTTTGGCAAACATTTGGGGTCTGTTTGTGGCAGGGGGTCTTGGCTATAGCAGTGGAGGGCTTTTCATGAGCAGGAACCAAATGAGGGCTTTTTAATAGTGTCTTGATTTTTAGGTGACTTTGAATCCACTGTTTTTCCTGAGAACCTGCAGCTAGGATCGAAGATTACACTTCCTGTTAACCCTCAGACAGGGGAGACATGTGCAGTTCATTGTGACTTACCTGGAGACCTTTCATTGGGTTTGTTTGGATATTAGCTAGAACTCTGGGTAGGTGATCTGGTTGTGAAATATAAGAAAGTGCTTGTTCTGAGAGTCCCAGAGCCTTAAGCAAGTGGCGGGGCAGGAGCTGCTGGTGGAGGGGGTGGGGGTGTGTATGTGGGGGTGGGGTGGGGGCGTGTGTGTGGGGTGGTGGTGTGTGTGGGGACGGTGGTGGCAGGAATCAGGTTTTAAGATACTGACAGTGAGTGCAGAAACCCAACCCCCAGCAAACTTGGTTCAGCACTCACTGCACAACAGATTCGGCCTTTTTCCAAGTCTGACCCACACACATCTGTATGCACGCTTGCCTTTAACTTATGATTTATTTCTCGCTTCTTACACTTCCCCGAATCTCTTAATGTTGCAGTTAGAACTTCAGAGTGGGGGGGGGGGGAGTGGACTCTTGTTGAGTGTTAGCTTCAGAATTTCCCTAGAAGTTCACTGCATCAGTTCCCAGCCTGGAGACCAATCCAGCGTGACTGTCCATGCTGGAACTCCATTTGATTGCTGTGTTATGCCAACCTGATGGAGTCAGTAATTAATCCCTTTTTTTTTCCCTTTTAAATTACTGTCCAGCTTTTAGCACCTTAATAATAAGAAATGTACCAATTCTAAGTTAAGAAAAGTCTGTGTAAGGCCAGCTTCTTAGAGGAAAAGTGCAGGGAGTTAATGATGTTTTCTGTACCTAAAACAGGAACAGTGCTCCTGCCCCCCACAAGTAAGTTCAGACACTTAGCTATTCTCTTTGTTCTTATCTCCTGGCTGTAAATGGTAATGACATACCGAGGTTCTGGTGGCCTCCCTGGAAGCAGAATCTAATCACAAGACCCCTGGTTTGGTACCTCCAACGTTTGCATAATGACGTGTTTGTTGGGCTGGAAGGAAACCTAAGGGCAAGGCATTTGTTCTCTAAAAGCTCATATTAAAATGGCTCCCACAGGTTTGCAAAGCCAAGATCTGTTTTCAAATGTGCAGCCCCAGCAAATTCCCAGCCCTGGACCAAGCGAGCCCCTTGCCCTGGGTCCCGTGGCCACCACCAAGCATGAGTCTGTAAAAGTCAATTGCTTTCAAAGTAGCCCGATTTTCCAGTTCCACTTGGGGGGGAAAAAGAAATGTCTGCAATGCAGCAGGACTAGGTAGGCACAGCAGTGCTGGCTCCCAGAGCAGCCCAATGGGCCTCCTCTCTGCAGCTTCTGAACCAATAGACTGGGAGGAAAGGTTACAGATTGACTATTGCAGTGGCCAAATTGAGACTGGGCCTTCTGGAAATTTCCACCATCTTTGTTCCTTTTAGGAAAAGCAGATGCACCAAGCTGAAGAGGCTCCTGCAGTCCATTCTTAGGGCATCTCCCCCTGCCCCCCTTCTTTTTTATATCAAGGTAGAATGTTCTCTCTGCCACGTTGGCAAATTGCAGAGGGAGGGACAGAACACTGGGCTGTTTTCCCTTTCCCTTCTGCCTCCTCAGTCCCCAAAGAGGGTGCACAGCTGCAAGGAACAAACACAGACACATTGGAGCTTTTGATTCCTCTCTCCCCCTCCCTTTTTTTTTTTTTTTTCCTTCTTCTTCCTTCAAGACCCTCCAGGATGGATTCACTTTCTGCTTTGGGAAATTAAGTGGCATTCATGTGGGGGAGGGGGAAGTCACTGCTTTTATTAGCTCCAGAAAATGGTCAGTGTTCCATCTGTAACTAGGAATTAATTATATATAATCACCCACTAAACTTTCTACAGAGTTTTTCTAATTGCTGTGTACGACCATGGTTAGCTTGTTGGAGCCCTGTCCAGTTACGTTTACAATTATCAGCTCAAAGATTTGAGTCAGAAACAGTGGGGCATCTTAGATTATAAATTAGGGATGAAAACAATAGCCCCCCCCTTCCTTCCTTCCTTCCTTCCTTCCTTCCTTCCTTCCTTCCTTCCTTCCTTCCTTCCTTCCTTCCCTCTCCCCCTCCCTCCCCCCTCCCTCCCCCCCTCCCTTCCCCCCTTTTCTTTCCCTAGGTAGCAGGGGGGAAATGGCTTCAGGTCTTAAACAGGAGAAGGGGAAAGTGAGTCAATCTTTAATAAAAAGCCAGGATGGTAACCCAGAAAACCCTGAAGGCGGAGGTAGGTTTCTTGAGTCCAACCACTTCAAATGTGTGCTCTTTTTGTTTCTTTTGCCTTCTTTTCCCTTGTCTCTCCTGTGGCAGAGGCAACAAACATTTGTCAGCCGGGAAGCCCTAGATCTGGCTTTGCCTCTGGTTGACCCTGAACAGAAAGACACACGCAGAAGTGCCTTTGCCATCTCACAGCGGAGGGTTTTCGGAAGGGAATGTGTTTAGAAGCCCTTGGGTTGCTCTTAAATGCAAAAGCCAGGATTCACCCTTGGCTTCAGGTTGCCTAGGCTATGGCCGCCCTTCCCCCTCCCCAGTCTCCTTCCAGATAAACAAGCAGGCGGGAGCCATTTCAGCCCTGTAGCTAGCTAGCTGTGCTGCGAGGCTGTCCGTCCTCATCAAGATTACCCACCTACCGGCCGGCAAGGAGCCAGCTGCCCGTCCTCGCCCTGGCACAGCCTTGGGCACCATGCCCTCCCGTCTCCCCTGGAGCTAAAAAGCAGTCACCTTGAAACTCCCCACTCACAGCACTGCAGTTCTGAGGCCCATGCTCAGACCTGTAACCGTAAATTACATTATCCACTATGAGGCTATCCGTTTGGCCTTTGAAAGCGGGTTTTGCAAAACCCGTTGTTAATTTTCAGGGCTCTGTTGGGGGTGGACAAAAATCTAATTTGTGAGTATCCCGTGCATTGGCTGGGCGAATGTTTTATTGTTGTGTCTCTGCAGACTCCGATTGTCTTTCCTTGATGCTGAGTTAGGACTGGCTGGGTATTCGGTGGCCGTTTTCAGGCGTGCACACCGCCTTTTGGCTTTGCCTTGGCCTCAGAGCCGGGTGCAGCCCTCGGGCTCGGCTTTTCGGACGCTGTTGTCCTGGAAGCACGTTCATGTTATCTAGCTCCTTTCTGCTGTGGATGCAGAGCTGGTTTGTAAAATACCAAGAAGGGGAAGTGGGCTTCCTTCCCCTGCGCTGCCTGCCCCCTTTTCATATTCTTGGGTTTTGCGCAGACACCTGTCTCCCTGCAGTTTATGCCACAGGGCTGCCTGTTTCCTAACCTTCACCCACCTAATTCGAGGGCCAGGGGGGCCTCCTCTCAGAGCCTCATGGTAGAAGGCTCAGGATGTGGGAGAGGGAAGGCTTTTCCTTAGGAACCTGTGACTTCACAAACTCCCCCTGTCATTGCAGGGTTTTTTTTTTTTTTTTTTTTCCCCTAAGCTTCTAAACGTTGGGTTGCTGCTGGTGTCCTCTGGTTGAGCTTTTCCTGGTTCTGATATTTAGGAAGGTGGCTTTGAAACTAGCAGGGCTGCTTAAACAAGAGCTACAGCTATTGAACAAACTGCTACCATTTTAGCTTCAATACAGGAATGAGGCAGTGTTGCCAGACGCCATTTTAAGAATCCTGCATAAATAGCTTAGCTCCCGATGACGGCCTGTTTTAGGTGAGTGCTTATATAAAGCTGCTCTGCTAACCATTCCCTTCCCTCCCTCAATTAAAAAAAAAGAGAGAAAGAAAACAAATGAATTGCAGATTGAGGGAAGCATGGTTTTATAAAAATTTTGATGTTGACTATTTTGTGAGCTAGAAGAGGAAGGTGTTGTATCTTGGGGATTAACTATTTTCTTGCAGCCTGGACCAGTTTGGTATTTTGAATGAGAGTAAAAAGCTGGAGGAAAAAGTCCTTTGGAATGATGCATGCTTCTTGAATTGCTGTGCATTGATCCTCAGCTGTAGGACCAGAGTCTCGTGCATGCTGGTTGTGTATTCCAGATGGGTTTAGATATTCTTGGTTAAAAGGCAAATAGTAGGGGCACTTGGGGAAAGGAAAGATGTGGGCATTGTGTATCCAGGCATTTTTATATAAAAACTAGATTTTTTTTCCTTTCTCTCTTTCTCTCTCTCTCTCTCTCTTTTGGGAGTGTTGAGGGGATGGGGTTCCTAGGTATTACGGACCAGCCTTCAGTCCTCAGAATTAATAATCAGAAGGCTTAAAGCATCCTGGAGGTTCAGCAGTTCATCTGCAACTTTTAATTGCTCTTTTTCAGTGCATGCAGGTTAAGAAGGAAGCTTTGGTTTTCCTGCTCAGGCACTGGGGGAGAAATGTATTCTTTCTGGGACGGGATGGCATGGTGTTTGTTGTATTTGCAGGTGCTGTTATTTCTTTAATTGTCTGAAATGTGTCAGTTTGTGAAATCCAGAGGCAAGTGACCTAGGGTAACTGTGAGTGCCAGAAGGGGTGGTGGTGGTGGTGGTAACATAATATATACAACTAGTTGATGGTGAATTTTCCTGTTGGGGTGAGGGACTGTTGTTTGCTTTTCAGCCTTTCTTGGTGTGGGCCCCAGTCTCCTCTGCAGACCTTAACAAGGGAAAAAAAAAAAGTAATGTCAGTTTGTAACAAGGGCTTGTTGTTCCATTGTGTTTGATTGAAATAGTCCCGGGTTGCTGGCAGGGAACAGATAGGGAAGGAAAGATGCTGTATATTTCCTAAGACTTGAATGTGTTAATGACAAGAGTTCAAAGTCTTCTCTCCAGATGCAGCCGCCTTTTCAACAGTGACTGTTATTTGACTTTTTTTTTCCCCCCGAATGACTGAACAGTTCTTAACCTAAATTGATCAGGATCTGTGGGGCACGCAGACAGGTACAACACATCTCTTCTTACCACCACTTTTGATGTAATATTCATAGTTTTTTCTTTAATAAACATCCTAGTACTTAACACTAAACCAAACACACACACACACACACACACACACACACAACAAAACCACCTGAGTTCAGTGGTGTAGGAAAAAGGAAGTCCCTTTAGATGTGGCTATTCAAAAATGACTGATTTTGCATTCTGGTCTTTGCTTTTTGTAAATGAATTTTTTTCCCTTTTACTGCACAGACTCTGCAATTTCCTTTAGTCACATGCAGTGTATTTTGTGTGTGTGTGCATGTGTGCGTGTGTGTGCAGACACGGGTTCTCTTTGAAAGGATGGCTTGCTGGTCTGTGAAAAAGATGGCTTTCTGAAATTGTACTTGAAATCCTTGGTGAAAGCTGGTGGTGCTATTGCTAAAGTTAGGTGATTATGGTGCCCACCCCGTAATACTTGGAAAGATAAAAACAGCTTAACTTTTACCCCCTTCTTGTCTGCTCCAGAATTGATTATCTTCAACTCAGCAGCAAATAGCACCCCCCCCCCCATCACTAGTTTGCATTTTCTTAGCCTCTCAGCAGCATCTCCGCCTGAAGTGTTCAGCTCCTGTGGGCTGTTCCCAGCCAAATCATTGTCTTGAATGCAGCCCTGCTCCACGACCACGGTACCTTGGACTGTTTTCCTCCCTGCAGAAATCCTTCAAGTGGGTCTTGGGAGTTCTGTTAGGCATTCATGGTTTCTTTCCCTACTGGGCATTTTGGTGAGATCCCAGATTAGCATTTTTTCTCTCCATCACTCCAAAGGTGAGATCGGTTTCAAAAGTTGAGGATTTCACACACTTCATGCTAGAGAGGGAAACAATTCTGGCTGGCAGAAAGGTTGGGGTGGTTATTTGTTCTTTTGAAGTGGACCATCTACCCACCTCTGTGGGCTGCATGGGGTTTTCTGTTAAAGTTGATTTCCAGTCGGTCCAAGCAGGAAATGGTCGCCAGAAGCCCTACGGACAGCCTTTGGGGGGGTGTGTGTGTGTGTCTGGGTTGAGAACGGATGCCTCTGAAAGTGGAGTGAGTTACTAGTGCCCGGATCGCCTTCCTCCCCCCACACCGCCGTAGTTGTGCGTGTTAGCGGTGTGCTTCAGTGTAAAAGGCTGCTTTCTTCTGATGCAAACCATTTGTGACAACACGTCAGTTACTTCTTTGGAGATTTGTGTCACAGCCTGTCTCTACAGATGCGGTGCAAATGAAATTGTTAACGGGTCCGGTATCAGAGAGCTCAAGGTGTTAATGTTCTGATTTAAAAGCAAACTAGCTTGCTTCTGGCTGCTGGGACTAGTTAACTTCGAGGCCTCCGAGTTCTTATAATTTAATTCTGAGCTGTCCTCTCTTCCTTTCTATCTAGTTCCCATTCTGAACCCTTTTCCCCCCAACAAACATGGAACTCTCCCCTAAACACACCTCCACGTGGCCAGGCCTTTTGGGACTCATCTTCTGTCCCAGACAATCCCAGACCACGGAATACGGAAGGGACATTCTAGGCCTTGCTCTCCTACCCAGCCTCCCTCCTGTCCTGGCTTTGAGGCTTCCAGATGGAAAGTACCAGCCGCAGCAATTGGGGGTGCACCCGTATCTCGTTGAACCACAGTCGCAGGGAATTGCATTAGAGTAACTGTTGCGATTTTTATCACTTCACTGTCAGCCCGAACATTGGGCAAGTTCAGCACCTCACGTTCTGCACCTATTGAGGCAGCACTTGACTGGCTTGGCTTAGGGCGGTGGGGGTGTGGGGGTGTGGGGGTGGGGTGGTGAAGCTATGGAGTGGCCTGTGCTCTCTGTCTCTACCAGGAGGAGTTCCAGAAGAGAAAAGAAGCTTTCTGGCGGACCTTCCCCGCCAAGGGGCCCGCTTTTTTGCTTCTCTCCCCAACCCCCAACTCTCAGCCTCTCTTTCAAGTAATCCCTTCCTCATTCCACCTTTGTGGTGGGGGATAATTAGTCACAGCTCAAAAGAGTGCCGAATGCTCTCTCTGAGCCACGCCTGCCTGCTACCCAGAGGAAACCTCCATGGGGTAGGGGTGTGTGGACCCCAGTCCTCATTCCTGGGATCAGTGCTGGGGGGGTTGAGTGTTTGGAGACCGGGCCTTTTAGCCTGGGCAGATTTTTCCACATTGTAATTCTGTGCATCTTTTCATGCTCCTGCCTCGTCAGGAAATTGTAAGATTTGGCAGGGAGGTCTGAGAAATGCTTTTTTGCCTTACAGAATTCAGACCTCAGAATGCCGGATACTCCGAACCTCCTACCTGAACCCTGGGTTAGAATGGGAAACGTGTTTACTCAAGGCTGGGTGGGGCAGATTGTAATTGTGTGTCTAAAAAAAAAAAAGAAAAGGCTTTTTTGCACCCCCCAAGAGCATGACAAGTGGGATAGTAATTTGACTTAAAAAAAGAACAACTTAGGGTTTTAAAAATACTCCTTTAGGAGGCTTAACACTTTGTTTGCAATCAAGTGTGGATTCCCCCCCCCCCTCCGCCCCGCCCCGCCCCCATCCCTACATAAGGATGGGGGATTCTGTTCAAGTTGGATTTGTCCTTAGGACTTCTATAGACACCCCCATGACACCCCCATGGGGTAAGTTCTCCGTCTGCCTAAACCTGAACATCATTTGCTCTGTTTCAGCTTGGCTGAAGAGGAAATAAAAACAGAACAGGAGGTGGTAGAGGGCATGGATATCTCTACTCGCTCCAAAGGTGAGTCAAAGTCTTGTCTATTACCTATTCCAGAGCAGAGGAGGAAATTGGAATTTCTCTCTCTTATTGTAGTGCAGCAGAGTGTGTCTCCGTGAGCCGAGCTTGCGACACTCGTCTGATTCTGAGATGCGGGACCTTAGGAGGATGATGCGGCACCTGATTTATGGCGAAATCGCTCTTTGCTTTCCTTTCCCTTGCGTGCCTGTGCACGTAGGCCGACCTGCCGGGGACTGTTCGTGACGGCACGTTTTATGTCTTGACTGAGGGTGACGGGCTGTCTCTCTGCAGAGTGACTTTCAGGAATCGGAATTTAAATAAAGGGCGCTCTGGAAGGCACCCATCTCGAGCGGCTGCTCCGGCTGGGAATTGAAGAGCAGGCCTGTCTGGACTCACAGGAGTAGAGGGGAATGTGGGACTGCCGGAATGCTGGGGCCAGTAGTTGCACTTGGGACAAAGTTTAGCAAATTCGACCGAACACCGTTGATATTGGCTAAGACAGAAACCCGTATCAGACCCCTCCGACTTCTCGTTGGAGGGTTGGCACTTCGAGTTTGGCCTGTGGGCGATATTACGGGAAGCGGTTGCTCACGTTTGCCTCCAAGGGTGCTTGTGAAAATGAGGTCCTCGGGTGCTTTTCACGTCTTCGGTGGATGAAAATGCTCATCTCTAAACTTCGTGGTTGCAGCACGGCGCTGCAATGCCTGGGCAAGGCGCTGAGGGCCTGCCTGAGGGTGGGGGGGATGGCGCGAAGGGCTGGGGAGAGGGTTGGGACGGAGTCTGCCGGAGAGCCCCCCATCTGGTGGAGAGGAGAGTGGCACAGAAAGTGGCTGGCGCGAGGCATCGGACACCACAGAGCTTTTTGGAGATTTGCACAAGCTTGGCATTTGGGGCAAAGATGGGGGTCAGGTAGTCATGACTGCAACCTGGGAAGGGGGGGTGGACCCGACAGATGAGGAGTTGGCATGGTCCAGAGAGGGGGCCGGAGACCCCTCAGGTGGGAGGAGCCAGGCTGCCTGTGTGGGTGGTCTGTGCCTGGGGGGCGGGGGAAGGGAGAGGTTGGGAGGGTGGGCCCAGTTAGTGGGCCTGTCATTCTTCATCACAGCCCCCATCCAGCCAATGGGGGGCGGTGGGGGGGGGCATGAGCGGGGGAGTCGTGAGCAAGGAAAGAACCTTCCTGAAGAAATATGTTGCGACAGCTGAAGGGAGTGTGGCCCAGCCCCTTCTTGTGGTCAGAATGTCAAGGGAGAAGCCAGAGGTGGGACGCTGGGAGATGGGGGTCTGTTGCTGTTCAGGCTCCCGCGGGGCTTGGGCACCTTGTGTCTCTGTGCCTCCGGTTTCTTCTGTGAAACTGGGTGTCAGGTTAGGTTCTGAAATTGCCTCCCACCTTGGGCCTCTGCTGGAGAAAACCTCCTCACAGTGCTTAGGAAGGCTGTGCTGGACCAGGAGCTTTCTCTTGCTGGGTTCCTCCCGACCCCTTGTGAGGGAGGTGTTGTTCCCATTTTGCGGATGAGGAGACTGAGGCTCCAAATGGTAATGTCTCACGGGTAGTGAGTGGCAGAACCGAGCCTCTGCCCCCAAGGAGGAGGAGGTGCTTTCTTCCTGGAGCCTCGCTATGGAGACTTCTCCAAGAGGGTCAAAGCCAGGGATTGTCACTGGGGCGGGAGGCCTGCTCTGGTCAGGGCAACCCCTGCCCCCCATGTGCAGAGACCTGTCTTCTCTTCTCTCATCTCCCTGCATACTGCTCACCAGGTGGCATCTCCCTGTGACTGTGCTCCCTGAAAGCGACCACTCTGGGGTGACCCTGGTCCCTCTTTCTTATCTACCCCACTGCAGTCCTCCACCTAGAGCAGCCTGGGCGGTCCAGAAAGCTTAGATCACACCTGTCCCCTTTTACTAACTTCTTCCCCTGACCTCCAGGGATGCCCTGAGGCTTAGGTCTGAGGTCATCATGCCTTATCTACCTGGGCCAACCTGTTCACCCTGGGACGTTCTGTGTAGCTCCTGCTCTCTCTTCCCCTGACTCCACCTGAGCCACCTGGCCTCTTTCCCCCGTGTTCCTTCCGTGGGGCCGCGTACGTCCTGTGCCCTTTGCTGGGAACGTGGTGTCCCGCTGCCTACTTCTTGTCTCTCAGATTCACCTCCGACATCAGCCATCTCCATCAACTGATGGAGTTGACCGTGATCACCTGGCTCCGGTGGCATTGGTCAGTTTTCTCCCTCCCGTGTTGGACTCTTTAGAAGGAAGTCACAAGGCCCAGCTCAGGTGCAGTGGGGAGTCATATTCCTACCCTTTAAGGCCAGAATATCTACGTAAATTATTTGGAGAGGCCTTCAGTGGCCACTCAGTGCAAACAAAGGAGCCGTTCTGTCGTTTTTCTGTTACTTTTCATAATAAGCTTCTAATTTTAGGTTTGCAGATAAGCCGTGAAGATATTGCAGAGTCTCCCCGTATCACATTCCTGCACACACGCACACAGAGTTTTCCTCCTATCACAGACATCGGACGTTAGGATGGTTTACTTGTCATAATCAACGAGTTGATGTGACTGTGTTGTTACTAACCGAAGTCCCTGCTTTGTTCAGATTTCCTTAGCTTTCCCACCAAGGCCCCTTTTCTGTTCCACGATTCTGCCCACGACACCTCAGCGTATTAGTTATCGCGTCTCCTCTGTCTCTTCTCGGCTCCGGCAGTTTCACAGGTTTTTGTTTTCCATGACCTTGATTGTCTTGAGGAGTATCGTCAGGTATTTTGTAGGGTGTCACCTGGGATTTCTCTGCTATTTTTCTTGTGATTGAACTGAGGTAGACAGCAGGTGGGGGCGGTGATTAGGTTTGGGGAGCCAGTGCCCTTGCATCACATTACATCCGGGGCACGTAGTGTCAACTGATGGAGTTGACCGTGATCACCTGGCTCCGGTGGCATTGGTCAGTTTTCTCCCTCCCGTGTTGGACTCTTTAGAAGGGAGTCACAAGGCCCAGCTCAGGTGCAGTGGGGACTCATATTCCTACCCTTTAAGGCCAGGATATCTACGTAAATTATTTGGAATTCTTCTCTATGGGAGATTTGTCCCTTCCCCACGTTTATTTATTAAGTCATATATTTATATCATCACAGACTCTTGTTTTCTACTTGGGTTATATTTATTTACTTTTTTGCAAGAATTATTCTAGCTTGGCCCATTGGAAACATTTCAGTATCCTTTGGCTGGAGGTTGGCGGATTGATTGATTGGTTGGTTGGTTGAACACTTCCTCCCTCTATGCCTTGACAAGGGGCTCTAGGCTCACTCATCTTGTATAATTTTTCTGTCACCGCGCTGGCGTTAGTCGTTTCCCCAGGGGTCCTGCGTTCCTTTATCAGAGAAGAGCATTAGCAGCCAGGATCTGGGCACCCAGCGTGCTCATCGCCGCCGAGGCGTGGGGCGCCACTTTAGGTCCTCTCAGCAGACAGAGCAAGGGAACGCCCCACCCACTAACCCACCTGTGCGCACGAGTCTGTAGATATTTCTGTCTCTATCTCACATTCAGCGAGCTTATACCCTTGTCTCCAGTTCTGCTCCTTCTCCCTTTCCTTATCTGTAACCTCCCACCATCCGCCGCGTTTACTATTTCCTGGTACCTTTTAAGTCTAAGGTGTACAGCTTGATGAACTTCTGACGCAGGTACACTAATGGGACCATGACCCAAAAAAGATAATCAAACGTTTACGGTGTCCTGCAAGGTTGCTCAAAATTACTCCCGATTTTCTTCCTATTTTTCGTCCATGACCTTGGAGTTCTCATTTATTTGTTTGTTGATGGTCTTTGTGAGGATGTAGCCTCCTTTTCTCCCCTGGGTCCTTGACCCTCTTCTTCAGTGCCCCCCTTCCATGCGAGATACAGTCTGGCAGGAAAGTTTAGAAAACCTTGGCTTTTAGTGCCAGACTTCTGGGGTTCACATTCTGGCTCGTGCCCTGCCTCACTGGGTTATTGCTTGTGACTCAGTTTCCCCTCATACACGGGGATGGCGGATGAAGATAGAGGGTTCTGGTGAAGATGCAATTTGCTCACATGGACAGCGTGCCCAGAGCGGTGCCTGGGATGTGGTGGGCGCTCCGAAATGTCAGCCACGGTGAGAGCCGGCTCGAAGTGGGGCGAGCTTGTGTTGGTAAGCCCGTCACCCGGAGGTCCTACTTACCACGTTCTACTACTGGCCCCACTTACACCTCTAGGAAGAGGGTGTGGAGGGAGGTGCGGAAGCTGTGCCCCGGTGATGGAGGACTGTGTGGGGCTGCCTGGCAGGCAGGCTGCAACGGGAGCCCCGGAACCGGCGTCGGGTCCCGTTGGACTCTCAGACATTTGAAGGAAGCTGGGCTGCAGCTGTTTGGGCTGAGTTTTTCCCAGGCCTCTGCAGCCCTCGTCCTGGTGGGGAGTCTGTGAGCAGGGGAAGGGGTCACCGGGTGTCAAGGGAGACCTTTTTCTCTCTCTCAGGGGCATGGCTTTGTGCAGAACTGAGCCCCGTCATCCAGGGCCGCCTCTGTGCCCGGGGAACCTTTCTCATGGGGCCCCGAGGGTCAGGCAAGGACACCGCCAACACAAAGGGCTGGCGTTTTGGGACCGGCTCGCCGGGGTGCTGAGCGCTGAAGTCATCATGGTGGACGTGAGGTTTGCAAAGGCTGATGGGGTGAAGCCTTATCTCTCTTTCAGTCCTAATTATCTCAAAATCTGAGGTGTGGTGACGTGGGCTCGGTGAATGCATACTTAATCCTCCAGCTGTTTTGTCTTGCGGTTTGGGAGATTCCTGGCTTTCAGTCCCTACGTGACACCATCCCCGCCACCGACCCTGCTGGGGTTCTGTGGTGGCCAGCCCTGGAAGCCGGCTGCTGAGGAGCCGAAGAGGAAGGCCGTCGGCCTGCCTGAGGGGTCGGTGGGAACGCAGGAGGTCCGGGGCTGCCCTGGGGGTGGGTGGGTGGGGGAGCTGTGTGCGGCCTCCTCAGGAGCCACAGGGCAAAGTCCCCAGGGA